CATGGTGGGTCCGGTTTAGATACGGGGCTCGGCCCTGACCTGGGGCTGATCTAGCTCCTGGCCCCGTCCCGATCCGGGTCTGGGCCGGTCCCGGGCTCAGTCCCAGTCTGGGGCCGGTTCCAGTCCAGGGCTGCGCACAGATCCCGGTCTGACCCTGATCCAGGGCTCAGTCTCAGTCGGGGGCCAGTCCTGATCTGGCTCTAATCCTAATCCAGGGCTCAGTCCCAGACTGGGTCTCAGCATGGCCGTACTGGGGCACTGTGGGTTTGTCCCCATGGGCTCCGTTGCTGGGGCACCTCTCCCCACCAAGACACCAGCCCCACACGGGGGGTCTCTGGGAGGGAGCAGGGCATTCCACCCAGGCCTGTGAGCAGCCCAGCCCAGCAGCCTGCGGTCCCACTCCCTCCACCTCGGGCATGGCAGGCTGTCCCACCAAGCGCTTGCAGTAAGGCAGGGCTGCTGGCACTCTGGGGATGCCAAAAGCCAGGGGGTCCCATCCCATAATACTTCATGCAACTTTGTTAACCCTATTGTGGCTCTTGGGCTATGAGGGCAGCACAGGGCTCAACACTGCTGCTGACTGCCCAGAGCCTCTGGCAAGCGGGGCACACGTCCCATGGGCAGAGGGCTGGGGGGGCTGGTGACAGCCAGGCTGTGGGTAGACCTCCAAGACTGATCCTTGTCTGGAGAATGCACCCCAGGGCTGAAGGCACCCCGGAAGATGCCGGCTGCTCCCTGCCTGCCCCTGGCTCTCCAGGAGGCCAGCAGCACGGGCACAACTGCCCACTAGTGCCCTGGCCCTGGGACAGAGAGCCCTTTCAGCACGGGAATGATGACGTTCATAGGAATGCAGCTCCATCCTGTCCCCATCTCGTCCCTGTGGCCACACAGCCCCAGGGACTTGGCTCCCTCTGCACTGCTGGGCCATGGGAGGTGCCTGTACCCAGCACCCACGCGAGCACCCGGCTGTGCCCTGTCTCTGGAGGGGACAGCAGGGCCAGGGACAGCCCTTGTCCCTGAGGGCAGGCAGAGGTTTAAGCCTCTCTACCAGGAGCAGTGGCTCAGCACTGGGGAGCCTGCCCGTGACCCCAGAGCACACCAGGGTGCTGTGACCGCAGCCAGAGGCTCCAGGCAGGGAGGCCCCAGGGCACAGGGCAACAGAGATGGGTGTCATCTCAGCTCAGACCCTGTCCCCAGCTGCTCCCAGCCCCAGCACAAAGCCCCAGACACCCAGTGAGCGCCAATATTGCTTTATTTGGAAGGTGAATCCATAGGCACCGGAGAGGGGGCTGGTGAAGGACAGAGCCGGCGCAACAGGCAGGGCTGTGGGAAGCCGGGGAAAGGCACTTGTGGTGGCAGAAGCCCCGCTGAGCGTCTGGGGCAACCTGGGCCAGGGGCTGCACCAGAGCAGGCGGGGGCAGGCAGTGTCAGGGACCAGCCCTGATGTGGGGTACGGACAGCATGTCCTGCCCAGGGAAGGGGTAGATGGCCTGGGGGCTGGCAGGGGCCCCCCAAACACAAGAGGGCATCAGCTGGGACAACACTTCATGATGGAAGTCGTGACTCAGTGCCAGCCCTGTGCCCTTCTCTGCCCCAGGGGGATCATGGCTGCTGCTCTCTACGCCAAAAAAAGGCACCAGGAAACCTCAGGTGACAGCCAGAGCTCAAGGCCAGCTGCTGGGGACACCCTTCCCGCTGATCCGAGCCAACATGGAGACTGGGGCAGACCCTCCCTCACACCGGGAGTGATGGAGAGGACCTGCCCCCAGGCAGGGCGAGGAGAGCTTATGACAGAGCAGCACCGGTGTGGTGGTCCTCCAAAAATTCCCAGTTTCTGGCTGCCCGTTGCTCCAGTTGTCCCTGCATGGCCTCCTCAGGGCTTGGCACCCAGCAGGCTGTGAAGGCTGATCCAGGGCCGTGCTGGCTCTGCTGCCAGTGTCCTCTTCTCCTGTTCTCCGAGACGGGCAGTGTCCCCGCAATGCCTGGCCTCAGCTCCCCTGGGGCCATGGTGCCAGCGGCAGACCAGCACCACCATGCTGCCACGTTCACCCTTCTCCTCCGCCTCACCATGGTCTCTGGCAGCGCAGCGCCCCAAGATGGAGCTGGAAAGTCCCGAGACGAGAGTTTTCCGGGATGATAAACCAAGTGCCGCAGGGTCAGGCAGGGCTACATGGGCTAGTCTTCAGCGCTGCCGGCAAGGCCATGCCTGTCCCTGCCAGAGCAGCCAGGCCCTGGGGCAGGCTGGGTGGCTCTTGGTGGCTCAGAGCCACGAACCTTGCTGCAGGGGAAGAGGGGGAGAGAACAACCCGGTGTTCGGCTCTGCTCCCTCCCAGTGCCCAGCTCCCTCCCGGACCAGTACGACAGAAGAATTTACCCCCAGCCCAGGGCCACAGGACCAGGCTATGGCACCACTCGCCCTTCCCCTCGCCCCGCAGCCCTGCACAGCCTCAGCCCCAAAGTGGGACAGTGTGTCCGGGGGGCCGGAGTGATGCCAGGTCAGGCTGTCCCCAGCAGCTGCTGCAGGACCGGGGGGTCTCCACACCCCCAGAGCGCAGGGCAGGGAGGGGTTGAACCCCGCAGGGCTCCGGCAAGACGGCGGACGTGTTCAGGCCAGACAGGAGGAGGGGCCCGGGCTGGGGAAGCCGAGATCAGAGCCTCCGTTATGGAACTGCGGAGGCGCCGCACAGCTGGGGATGGCAGGAGGGGGCTGCCAGCGGGTCGGGGGGGGTTATGCCCACCCAACGCCACTGTGTACCACTGCCCCCAGCTCCGCTACCCCAAGCCAGTCCCCCTCCACCCAGGGGACAGGTCAGCACCCACCTGAGCACACAGCATCTGCAAGGCCCGGGGTGAGGGAGTTGGGCAGGAGCCCTGGGGGGGCTCCCAGAAATTGGCGTCCCTCTTAGGGGCTCTCCGATTGGGTCCTTCCATTTGCAAGAGCCTACGTCTGTCCAGGGGCGAGAGAGGAGCCTGTACAGCCACTGGGTGTCCACTCTGTCTCGGTGGGATGCAGGGAAAGCTGTGCTCAGAGAAGGCCTCTATCTGTCCATCCGTCTGCGCAGGAGTCTCCGGAGGAAGCGTGGTGCAGTCAGCCAGGAGGGGATGGGGCGGCAGGGTCACTTCGTCCTGAAGGGGTGCTACGCTCCATCTGCGGGCGAGGAAAAGGGGAGTCGAGTGCCGCAGGGTCTCAGATGATATCGCGCTGGTCCCGGCAACGCCGTGACAGGCAGTAGAGCCCAGAGAAGAGGTACAGGCAGGCGGCGATGCCCCCGCAGACAGAGGCACTCAGGTAGGCACCGTAGAGGCAGTGCTGGCTGTAGCCCGGCAGGTTGCAATAGCTTTTCTGCTGGGCTTTGTGGCCCATGATGCCGGTGGCGGCCGCGTAGAGGCCCACGCCCAGCCCCAGGTCATGCACCAGGTTGGTGAGGAGCCAGCGAGAGCCCAGCCAGGGCACCAGTGCCCAGCGCCCCAGCAGGCTCAGCCCGAAGAGAGCCAGGGTGAGGAGCCAGACCAGGACGGCGGCGAAGAGGGCGAAGTGGGCCGCCCCCTCGTACTTGTGAGCCGCCACCGTCACCCAGAAGGCAGCGCCCAGCGCCAGCTGCCCCAGGCGCAGCAGCCCCAGCGG